CAGCACTCTGGTAGCATTTCAAAACCATGAACTAATAAGAAAAGATGAAGGAGGAGGAAAAAAAAGGAGAATCTTATTCTGAAAGTTGTCGCTTCCCTATTAAAGAGCCCATTTGCTCCTGTTTCTGACTAATAACAAACAAAAAGTATATTCATTACAGAGACTACTGCAACTGAAATCCAAGTATGGTCTTCATTAAAATTCAAAAAAATAATAAGAGAGTCATTAACACTCTAGCAGCATAAGAAAGCTGAAGCTGGGCAAATGACAATCACGCAGACCTAAAAAAAATAGGCACTGTTAAATGCTCGGTACTTATCTGGCACTGGCACAATCTCACCCTGCTGCAGCTTCTTCACTCTTTCAAAATTTGCATGTGACACATTTCAATTAGATATCCAGTTGTCAGCAGCCACTTAATTACATTAGAAGAAATGTGCAGGTATATAAAATATACGGCACATTGTAAGACTGGAAGACATGAGAGAGTTTCTGCTTCTGAAAGAGATACTTTTTTTTCCAAAAAAAAAAGTCTTCCTAATAAATCAGTTTGCCAATACATTCCTTTGGGAATTCAGTGGCAGCAACACGAAATGCAAGATCAGCAAATTATTAAAATACTGATGTAGTAACTCAGCGCTGAGCAACTAATGAGCTGTAAAGTTCACTTCTAAAAGCAGGACACTCATACATTAAACACGTCCACAGTACTTTCGCTGTTCATTATAAATATTAATTTAGAGTTGGAAGGTGAACTATGCAAAACAAAATTCAACTCTGATGGATTCCGATAACATTGCTTTTAGGGATCAAGTTTCTTTGGAATAATATACAGTAACATAAGGACACAACTTTGCCAAGTTTGGTATTAAAATGCATTTTAGCATCATGGTGAATCCCAAATTAGGTCAATGACAGATGAGCAGAAGCAGACAGATGATTTTCAACTTACCAAACTGAACTCCTACTCACGTTGCAAAACTAATCCAAAATTACCATAAATTAAGGCTCTTTTAAATAAAGGTAGAAATATGGGAAGCCATTGATCACTCACATATGTAACATTGATAATGAAATTCCTTCAAAGAAAACAAACACCAAATCTTTACTACAGTGCACGATACTACGCGTTTAATCCAACACAATGTGCTCTTCCCCTCTGATAAACAAGGGCACAGTACTTTGTAGAAATGCTGACGAGCAGAAGAAACCAACCGCATATTAGCTAGGTCTCTTAGGCCCACAAACTTGCCATTTCCTTCTGGTGCTCTAAGTCTCAAAGCAGGAGTGGACACAACACAACAGCCTGTACTAGGTAAAACAGAGAAGACATCATCAGTGCTGCAAGAGTTTCCAAAACACGTACTTAAGTGCCAGTACCTATCTAAAAGCAGTAGCTGACATGACCAAGTGATCATCTCGCTTCTCCTGAACTTACGTGTGCTTTGCACTTAGCAACAACTCGCATACTTGAACCTCACTGAATATTTGTTGAAGACTGTTGTGAACTGGAGGCTTGATAAAGGCTGGAAGAAGGTAGTACTAAAGCTATAGATCTACTGTTTCAGAAAGTAACATGACTAAACAATTTCAAGTATATTAGAAGCCAAAACATGTTACTATGCTTCTCCAAAGATTAACATATTTTATGGAAAGTTATATTGGCAAACTTGTAAGACTTGGTATTTGCCCCGACTTACAAAAATTGTTGAGAAGGGAACGGATAACTTAATAAAACATACTATAATGCATTTCCTATGTGGAAATTAGAAATTTATGCATCTGCATAGTTAAATCAATAATTCTGTTAATGTACTAGATGTGAATCTCAGTAAGTTTACCTAAGGCACAGACACATGGCAACACAGAAATGTCAATAACAGACAAACTGGCACATGAAACTAGAGAACGTACTGACCTTGCAAGCAGGACTGCCAACAGGGGGAAGAAGCTAAAAAAAAGCAGCAAAAGAAAATTGCCTACATAAGATACCTATAAACTAAGTGGCGTAGAGACCAGAAAATATAGATAAAATCCACTGGAAAAATATTAATCATGAACTATTAGTTACAAAGAAAACAACTTCAGCTGCGAAGACTCCAAGATGAAGAAAACCATATACCTTTGCTCTAGGCTGGGATTTTTTCTCTGTTGTAGGCTCTTAGATGCTGGACTTTATTTTGACCTAGTAATACCACTCCCAGGTTCTCATGGTTCTTCAAAACAAGCGAAAAACAAATAAAAAAACCTCACTCCCTCCCGTAACACCAAAAAAGCCTGAATTTCTACCACGAATCATAAATGCTCAATTCAGAAAGGTGAAATTAATATGCTGCAGCACACAGGACATTTTAATAGTGGCTTTAAGAACATCAGATTCCTCCTGAATCTAATTACTACATACAAGAAAGAAGCTGCTCTCCCTCTGACATAACTGTAAACACCAAATTCAATTGTTCCTCAACGTATTGTCAGGACCGATAACAGACTCTGAGAAAGCCTACTCAAACACATTTTCCTAAATGGGGAAAATCAGCCTGCAGAGGGATTCAGGTGGCTCTTTTCTATTTCAACTGGATGATTGCCTGGCTGTTTTTTCAAGAGTTAGATGCAATTAGGATATTACTGTTGACAGACTATAACTCTAACATCCAAGAGGAAATGGCAATTCAGCCAAATCAAAACCATGATACTGATGCTCATTCACAAGTAATATTTTTTAAAGCATTCGTGGAAAAAGAACATTTCAATTTTCCATTCAAAACTCATTTTTACCTTTAAAAATTTTCTGATAATCAGAAAAGATGACCTAATTTTCTTTTTCATTTCTTATCCTTTTTTTCCTTTTTTTTTTTTTTTTAACTTTTCTGTAGATACTTAATGTGTGGTAGTTTCAATTTCTGGTTTTCATACTGTTTTGGAATGGGAATGATCTTAAGTCCCAGAATCTCCACAAAACACAGATCTACATATTTTACTCTAAAACTCAAGGTCATTCCATGCTCAATTAGCGTCTCACTTAAATACATCAGTGAAGAACAAAAAAGCATTTGCACATTATTGCATCTCTCTCTTTCTTGAGCATATTCATGTTTTTTAATATATTGCCCATGAATATACGCCCTAGGCTTCTTTACTTGTGCTAAGTCTCAAATCGGGATCACTTTCATTGCTTGAATGATTTATTTCTTTTAATATTCAAGGGAACAAGTAGAAAGGAAGCAAAATGTTAACAATTAAAAGTTAGATGTGGAGACCAAGAACTGTAATTCTACGAACACTCACTCCAGTGAACTAAAGCTCTGTCAGGCACAGTTCCTCATATCCTGAATGCCCAGAGTCTCCGAGGTGATCAGAAAGATCAATTTTCCATTTTGCAGAAACCTGGAAGCCACTATTACAAAAGGGTATCTGTGGAACAACGTCTGTTAAATGAGGAGTTGTCAGGATGACATGATCTGCCTGCAAGGATCTTGCGATGAACAAAACAGCAACCTCCAGGGAACGATGCCAGTCAGCAGCGAAGGGAATTAATGGCTAGAGGCAGCACACGGAGCCACAGTTTCCCTGCAACATCCATCCTGTATCTGGCAGCCTTGGAGTCTTAAACCGCTGAAGGGCTTGCCAATCTCACTGGAAGCATAGGGCTGAGAGGAATCATAGAACAGTTTGGGTTGGAAGGGACCTTTAAAGGTCGTCTAGTCCAACCCCCCTGCACTGAGCAGGGACATCTTCAGCTAGATCAGGTTGCTCAGAGCCCTGTCCAACCTGACCTGCAATGTTTCCAAGGATGGGGCATCTACCACCTCTACAGGCAACCTGTGCCAGGGTTTCACCACCCTCACGGTAAAAAATTTCTTCCTTGTACCTAGTCTAAAACTACCCTCTTGTTAGTTTAAAACCATTACCCTTTACCCTATCATAACAGACCCTGCTAAAATGTTTGTCCCCATCTTTCTTGTAAGCTCTCTTTAGGTACTGCAAGGCTGCTCTAAGGTCTCCCTGGAGCCTTTTCTTCTCTGGGCTGAACAACCCCAACTCTCTCAGCCTGTCCTCACAGCCGAGGTGCTCCAGCCCTCGGATCATCTTCATGGCCTCCTCTGGACTCGCTCCAACAGGTCCATGTCCTTCTTGTGCTGAGGATCCCGGAGCTGAAGGCAGTACTGCAGGGGGGTCTCACCAGAGCGGAGCAGAGGGGCAGAATCCCCTCCCTCGACCTGCTGGCCACGCTGCTTTGGACGCAGCCCAGGGTATGGCTGACTTTCTGGTCTGCAGTTGCACATGGTTGGGTCATGTCCAGCTTTCCATCCACTGGTATCCCCAAGTCCTTCTCTGCAGGGCTGCTCTCAATCCTCCGTCCCCCAGCCTGTATTGATACCGGGGCTTGTCCCAACCCAGGTGCAGGACTCTGAGGTGAACCTCTCATGAGGTTCACACAGGCCCACTTCTCGAGCTTGTCCAGGTCCCTCTGGATGGCATCCCGTCCCTCAGGTGTGTCAACCCCACCACTCAGCTTGGTGGTGTCTGCAGACTCGCTGAGGGTGCACTTGATCCCACTGTCCATGTCATTGATGAAGACACTAAATAGTACTGTTCCCAATATGGATCTGAGGGACACCACTGGTCACTGATCTCCACCTGGACATTGAGCTGTTGACCACTACCCTCTGGATGCAACCATCCATCCAATTCCTCATCCACCGAACAGTCCACCCATGAGATCCATACCTCTCCAATTTAGAGAGAAGGACCTTGTAGTGGACCTTGTCAAAGGCCTCATAGAAGTCCAGATAGAAGACATCTGCAGCTCTTCCCTTGTCCACTGATGTAGTCACTCTACCACAGAAGGCCACTAAGCTGCTCACGCATGACTTGCCCTTGGTGAAGCCATGCTGGCTGCCTCAAATTACCTCCCTCTTTGAGTCAACATCTTCCAAAAAACTTATTTTCAAGTCTCTACTTCCACCCTTTTCAGTAAAAGAAGTTTTACCAAAACTTACCTCTGGGTACTTCAGTTTTAACGTTTTATGCATTTCTCGAAAACGACTGTACCGCCTGAATACTGTCCATGTCTCATCCAGGACTGTTATCTGTATCAAACAACATAAAAAGAAGAAACAGAGGTAAAACTGCAAAACGCACAAGACTAAAAACCATGCAGTATACAAAGTTACCAGATTAAAACAGGAAATTCTTCATTCCCTTAAATCCATAAGCTTTTATTGGTTTACTTAATTTTTCTTTCATTACAGTGAGAGAACTGTGTTTAATAAGGAGCACTGATTGCAAAGCAAAAAAACTGAACACATTTATTCCTTATTCCAGAGTGGTTTGACAAGGCTGTAAACACATTAAAATATCCCAAATCATTCTTTGCTGCAGCTATGCAGCTCTCAGCATTACAATCAGTGGGTGTTCCATTAATGAATGAATAACATCCAGCACAAGTACAGAGTAGCCTCTCTATACATTCATAGACACGTATATTCTCATACACACACATACTCATGCACAATTAATAAATACTCATTTCTCAGACACACAGAGTTCATTACCACATTGAACAGGATTCCAATCTGTAGGGCAAAAAATTATACATGCCAGTGTTCAGTAGAAGATATTGCTTTAAAACACTCTCGGTCTGTGTCATCAATATGTTGATGAACATCCCATTTATACAGGAAGTTTCATTAAAATCAACAGAATTACTCCTGTGAATAAAGCATATAGCAACAGGAGCAAAGGGGGAGGGCAAGTCAACCTTACCATCAGTTATTCACAAAATCCTCACTGCAATAGAGAAACCAACAAAAATGTCAGGGAAATACAATTTTTCACTGTCTGAAATTAGGTGAAATGAAAGAAATTCATAAGTTGGTCATAAAAAAGCTGTGACTGGAGCCTTGATTTTACAACAAAGTCTTTCTGTAGCTCTGGTGATCCGAGGCTACCAAGAAGCAATGTCGCAGGGAGAGTGAGCATTCTTCTACACCGACTAGCAGAGCTGGAGAAAGCCAACTGGCATTGCCCAAACCTGAAAAGACTGTTGTTTTTTGAATCTAACAGGCCCAGTATGTGGGATTACCTCTGCCTAGCTATGATTTTATGCATGAAGATCAAAACCAAGCATTTTCATAAAACACATTTCACAAAGACACAAGCTTGTAAATCTTAAAGTAACTCCTAAAATTAACAAGTAGTTTCCTCACTACTGAGCGTATCAGAAAGTTATGGAGATACAGAAAGTTGCAATGGAGCAAGATAACTGAGTAGAAGAAAGAAATCAGAGCAATAAAGCCAGAGGAAACCAGCATCCGAGCACCATTGTCGACAAATGCTACCCCGTGCTTGCAACAAACTCATCTCTGGTCCACCTCCGTCCATCCCCACTGCCTTTGCTTCTGTACACAGGTCAGCGCAACTGAGCGAAGGGTTTCGGAAACCAAAAATTATTGTGTGTCTTATGACATCAGGAACCAGGGTTTGGGTTGATTTTTTTTCCTTCCCTGTTTTTACCTCTATTTTTGACTAAAAGATGTAAGTAAGCAAAACTGGCCTTCTCAAAAATTGTCACAAACGTTAAAACACAGGTTCTTCTAGGACATCTCCACAATGCAAATTCATTGTTTCTGATAGAATTCATCTTTCACACCACCAATAAGCTTGACTGCTACTAGGAGGCCTGCATGATGGACTGTATTCCCTCAATATCTTGTTAATAGTGTCTCAAGCTTTACAAATCAGGTGAATGGATTTAACATGCAGAGGCAGGTTTAACTAAAAAAAGTAACTATTCAGGAATATGCATGTTACACTGATGGCGATTAGCCAATTAACCATTTTGTTCGGAATAATTACTTTAAAGTAAAGGGCTTTGTGATTTCAATGTTCAAGTAAACATTAGAGTGCAATGGATAGTCATAAAATAAAGATGTTACTTGTTCCTGCTCTCTTTTGGCTTTAATTCTGTATTTTAATATTTCTGAGTCATGAAATTTTGCTGTGATAATTTTGTTTGTACGTGATCTTTTATTCAGAAGTGACCTCTTTCTTCCCCTAGGGTTTTCCCAGATCCATGCCGTTAGGCAAACAACCCAGCACAAAGCATCCAGGACTCTTCCACCTACCCAGCCTGGAGAAGAGCGTGGATGTCAGCTTGCCAATGATGCTGTTGGCTGTGCATCTGACAGCTCTCTAGGTGACAGGGTGGTACCAAACTTACCCAAAGCAAATTGCCTGCAGCCAATTATTTACTAGCTTTCTTGTACAAAGTTTAATAAACAACTTGTTAGAGACAGACAGAAAGGAAAACAGCAAAGCCATCTCTCTGTGCTGCCTGAGAACGGAAGGATTTTCTCTAGAGCGTTCTCAGGTGACTCGGTCCCTGTCATCCTCTTTGTTTACTTTCCTCATTCTTGTAATGAGGCTAGTAGATAACGCATTGCAAAGTTTTATTGTTGTTACTGCCAGTATCATTGGAAAATGAATTTCAAAGCTAAACAAAATCTTAGCCAGTCCCCAAAGCTCAGCAATAATGTGATTAGGACAGACAGGATCAAACTCCACTCATATAAAGAGGAGAGTTACAGCGCACCTGGCACAGCAGCAGCATTTCTAGAACAGGGCCTTTTACTCCTACAGTTTTACCCCCCTGTTTAAAAAAGCTGTATGACAGACTACATACTCTGTAAGTATGCAACAGGGACATATGCAGATCTTTGGAACAATAACAAGTAAAGCAAATTTGAAAAGGTCTTTGCTTTTTACTTGTAATTGGCTAATATAGCAGTTAAAAACATTTTCCTAATAACAAAAAAAAAAAAGAAAAAGAAAAAAAAGGGTTGAGTAAATCTGTAAGACAGATTTTCAAAATATTCTTATCTGAGCACTTCTGTGATCCTAGATTTGCCTCAGAATTGTGGGTTGGTTGGGTTTTGTGTTGTTGGTTTTTTGTTTTGTTGGGTTTTTTTGTTTTTTGTTGTTTTTTTGATTTTTATTATTCAAGCTAAATTTTCCTACGTAAAACCTATAAATTTGAAAGGAGATACTACAGTTCTGTCTCCTTATCTTTTCTTGTCATGATGACTGACAGAAAATAACCTACCAGACGTTTCGCATTTATTCCACTGAAAAGCACGCCACAGAATTTGTTCCCCTTCCCTTTGTTCCCTTTAGAAGTAAAACCATAGGGAGGAAAAAAAAAAGAAAGAAAAAATATTCCACCTCATTCTGAAGCAATTAGAACAGAAAATGCACACCTTACTTATCTGGGCTGGGTAAACTGCCTACAGTCATTGTGAAAATTTATATTTCTTCAAACGGACCTTGTTGAAACTGTTCCTCACACTGTCTAGGAATACAGCACCTGAAAAGCTCAAAGTTGCCTAAAAGTTTCTTGTAACTTTTTTTATTTATTATTGAGAGTATTAATCTGATAGAGTTGAGGGAAGATTGAGCTTTTTCTTTTTTCTAAGTTAGGCAGATATGGGGCATGCATCACTTTCTTTAAGCACTACGTATCAATGAGAACTGCTTCTGCTTTACTCCAATTCTGCAACAGGTTGCTGAGCTCAGAAAGAAACTTAGACTAGAAACATGGGCATTTTGAGCAGACCCACCACAGCATCTGGCTGAAGAGAAGTGCAACTGGACATAGAAAAAAGCACTGCTTTGGGGTGCATCTGCCTCCGTCTTCTCCTACAGAGAACTCATCAGAGATGACTGACAGGCTTTGAAACACCAGAAAAAGCCAGTTTTGAAAGAATATCAAACAGGATAAATAAAATGAGAGCACTCAGAACCACAAGGGAAAGCTGAATAAAAATGAGAAGGCTTATCTACAGCTTTCCCCCTTGTGAGAGGATCCCCTGCAGGGCTGTGCTTGATTCCAGGCTTTGCGTCCATCACCGGCTCTCAGGAGACCCCGCGTGCCTTTCCGTGAGCCGGAGTTCCCCCTTCCCCGCTGCCTCGCTGCTCCTGCTGCCGTCCATAGGTACTGTCTGCAACCACCGGCACCCGCTGTAGCAGATGCCAAGGCTCTTATGGATGTAAAAGCTCTTCCCACACGCTGTTCCTAGCACAGCCTTGTCTGCGTATCCCGCAGATCACAACAACATGAAAGGAAGGGGAGAATACAGGAACAGTTTCCTGGTATTCTAATTCAGCTCTAACACAGATATGTTTAGACCTGATTAAGTTACTGCTGTTTCATCACGTCTTTAAAGACAACCTATAAAACTGTCGCTCAAATGGAAGTTTTTTTTGGAAATGTATCTATTCATACTGAATACTTAATACAGACCAGCACAAACAGCTCCGTGACATTCCTTGCTGCAAAAGGAGAAGGTGCTACCTTAACTCTGATAAAGTATGGGTTTGTTTCTATTTTGAATTCTGTCCAATAAGTTCTCATGGGATTCACTCAACATCTTAAAGTAGGATCTATCTAGTGGAAGAACCCGAGTGGACAGATCATCTTGCTGGCCCGTTCCCAAATGTTATATATATCTAGATGGACAAGGTGCTGAACCTGCACTAAAAGAAAGTATTTTGGGATGGTATGTTAGGGTTGAAAGACTTATGAACTGACAGTACTGCTGCCAAAAGTGGAACTCACTCACTCTCTTTTGGCATACAAAGGAAATAATCTTTACTATTGCATGTCACAGGAAGGAATTTATATTTATTACACATAGAAATTTATTGTATTTGTTCCTCTATACAGCAATACGCCAGGATTTAACTACAAACACAACGACTGGAAACGTCTGCTGAAGAAAATACTTCTGAGATATCTGGGATTCGAAGGTTTGGAAATCATCTTACAATTCAGCTCAATCAAGAATTATTTCAACAATTGACATTGTATCCCGACCCATCGGGAAGGGATGAAATAAACAGGTACATGTTCTCTC